CGGGAGCCATGGCCGGCGGGCGCGTGGGGGCGCAGGCTTGCAGGCGCCAGTAGATGCAGGCAAGAAGGCATTGGCCGACCAAGTGTGTACCATGCTGCAATTTGTAATATTCCTTGAATTCTTTGCTTGGGGCCTGTTGACAACTCCAGTGCTAACTAGAGGAAGAGAGATTGGTTCGCCATGCCCTGCGCGATGGCGCGAGCCCGCCACTCGAACCATGTAGGCGCGCGGCTGCTGGCCGCCAGGGGCTGCCCCTGCGGCCCCGGCGCCCAGACTAGCGGCCCAACGGCCCGAGCCCGGAAAACGCCTGCCCAGGATACTGTAGGAAAAGCGTAGTAAGCTAGGGAGAGAGCTTAGGGGTTCTAGAAGCCATTTCATGCAGGGCATTGTAATAGCTTTGAATTTCAGTGTAAGTGCAACCAGAGCCATTAGGATGATTAGAGGATTTTGAGCAGCAGAGGAGAGACATGGTCTGAATTAAGTTTTTAACAAAATCGCCTTGACATCTAGGCTGCTGTGTGAATGCACCAAAAGCAGCCCACAGTTCCTGACTTTTTCTCTCTTCTACCGACATTGCTAATGTACTTCCCTTGTTCTCAGTGTACTTTTATGGGGGGTTTTTTGTTTGTTTTGTTTTTTAATATATTTTTATTGATTTCAGAGAGGAAGGGAGAGAGAGAAATAGAAACATCAGTGATGATAGAATCATTGATCCGCTGCCTCCTGCACGCCCCTTACTGGGGATTGAGCCTGCAACTGGGGCATGTGCCCTTGACCAGAATCGAACCCAGGACCCTTCAGTACACAGGCTCTCTTCACTGAGCCAAGCTGGCTAGGGCCTCAAGACACTTTTAAATGAATCTGTTGGGTGAATTTTTGGCAGTGCAATTGTTGACTATGTACATTTTACAAATTTTCTCCCCCAAAAGCTTGATATTTATTTTCTTGATAAAGGTTTCAATAATGCCCACTTCAGAGTATTTTGGGATAATCAAGCAAAATGTTGGGTTTTAACTGGATAAGTATGAAGGAGCTGTACATGTGACAGTTTGAGTTCATTGGATTGGCTAGGAAGTGACCCCCTTCTTGGAACGCTTTTATGGCCATGTTTTCCTCAGTCTTGCCTTTTTTTAATTTTCCTGTGGCTTCCTTGCTCAGACTGATTCTGGAGATAAAAGATTTCCTCCCTTTGTTTACATGGTTTATTTTCAGGGACAACAGCCTTTAGGAGTGAGTTGAGAGTGGGGTGGAGACTTGGTGTTAGGGAATTACTTCAGAGCCCTCCTTATTCTTTAATCTTCTTCTGGAAGACTAAGAAGTGGAAATTTCTAGACCGGCTGCCAAATTGTGACTCTGGGCTGTAGCCTTCAGGTTAAACATTTAGACATTCAGATTGCTGGCAACACTTAGTTTTCAGGAATTGGAGCTTGTGGGCAGAAAGAACAAAGCAGCCCCCACTGGAGAGTTCCAGAATTTCTGAGGGGAAGGTTTGATGCGCCTCTTGGAAGGGACTTGTGAATTGTAAAGGCCAAATATTGAGCCCATCTGGGTGTACTTCCTGCAAGCTGGTTTTCTAAGGCAGCACTGTCCAATAGAACTTTGTTTTGTGTGTGTGTGTTTTAATATTTTTATTGATTTAAGAGAGGAAGGGAGAGAGAGAGAGAGAGAGAGAGAGAGAGAGAGAACCATCAATCGGCTGCCTCCCACATGTCCCACAATGGGGACCGAACCTACAACTGCCTCCTGCACACCCCACACTGGGGATTGAGTCCTCAACCCCGGTATGTGTCCTGACCAGAATGAAACTGCGACCTCCTGGTTCATAGGTTGAAGCTCAACCACTGAACCATGCTGGCCAGGCTAGAACTTTGTATGTAGATGGAAATGGTCTATAATCTGCACTGTCCAGTATGTATTGTGGCCACTGGAGTCATATGGCTATTAAGCACTTGAAATAGCTAGTGGGGCTGAGGAACATAATTTACAATTTTATTTAATTTTAATAAATTTAAATAACCACACGTGTTTAGTGGTTATGTATTGCACAGTGCAATTCTAGGCTGTTGCCCCTATGCCCAGCCCAGCATTGCGCTTCCTGCACTTTGCTTCAGGAATCTGTGGCATTCTTCTTTCCTCAGATCAGGTACCCCCACCCCTAAGTTCACAAAACCTTTTCCTCTGTCTCTAATGTCTTCTATACTTTCGGGGAAGGTGGGAGGTAAACGCTTGTGTTATACAGTAAACAAAATGGTCTGTCTTGTTCTCCACTTGTCCCAATGTGACTTTTTTCCCCAACTGAATTGAGATCTTCACGGAGCAACTGAGTTTTGCCTATTCTTTGTGTCATTTGTGTTGTATAAGTTGTGCCCAATAAATACTATTAACTGATTAATTGATTTGTCCTTTGTAACTGATTTCTCCCCTTTTTCCCAGGTGCCTTGAAGAAGGGTCTCACAGCTGAGCAGGTCCGAGCTGATTTCATAACTCTGGGTAGGTCATCACCAAGGTTCCCCAGAGTGACAGGCCTTGCAACTCTTTCGTATAGTAATGTCTCCCTATGTTCTCTCATAGGTCTTAGTGAAGAGAAAGCCACTTACTTTTCTGAAAAGGTATCATAATTCCTCTTAATCAAGGTTAATTAAGATCCCTTGCTTTTATTTCACGTAAAGAAACAAATGGAAAGTGCCAACTAAGGAAAAGTCATCAATCTTTATGTGTCATCTCCCCAGCTTAATGTTTTTTATTTGGTTTCATGCAAATGACATACATCCAGCTTTTAAATTGCACTATTTAACACATTTGTAATTTTTGTGCATTTTTTAGTGCACCCCACTGATCTGATTAAATATTAATGTCATACTGTTGTTGTTCCAACATAGATTAAATCTGGGAATGAAAGAAAAAATTTATATTATCTTCTGTGCCTTCGACACTCCCCCACCCCCCAGGTCTGTGCATCTAGACCAGCCCTTGGTTCTGCTTTCTTCCCACTGTCTGTATAAAAAAACTAAACATTGCTGTGGGGGGTGGAATGAAGAGGGAGAATTTTTCCCATTGTTAAGACTTTGGCTTTTTGTTTTTGTTTCAGTGGAAGCAGAATGCCCCCACCCTTGCTCGATGGGCCATAGGTCAGACTCTGATGATTAACCAGCTTATAGATATGGAGTGGAAATTTGGAGGTAACTAGTTAGAGCCGGTCTTGGGTCCTTTGGGTGATGTAGGGTTGGGTTGCAGAAGCTTTCAGATAGCTTCTATGGGGAAGAGGTTCCCTCCATCCTCAAACACCATTGGGGCCAGCAGCTACTCTCTGTATTGCCATCCATATTCCAGCAGCTGTTTCTACCCACGGCTGTTGATATGTTGACTTCCCGAAAAGCACATTTTGCTGTCCTCATACTCACCCCCATTTGGCTTCTGCTGCACAACCTGAAAGATTGGGGTCTTCAGAGTGGGTCCTCAACCAGCCGCTTACTAGTTTTCTCTTTGTATCATAGTGACTTCTGGCAGCAGTGAACTGGAAAAAGTGGGAAGTATTTTTTTACAAGTAAGTCTTCTCTTGATTGTTGAAAATGGGTAGATTTTTGACTTGGTTAAAAATTATTAAACCTGCCAAAACCGGTTTGGCTCAGTGGATGGAGCGTCGGCCTGCGGACTGGAAGGTCCCAGGTTCGATTCTGGTCAAGGGCATGTACCTGGATTGTGGGCACATCCCCAGTGGGAGATGTGCAGGAGGCAGCTGATCAATGTTTCTCTCTCATCAATGTTTCTAACTCTCTATCTCTCTCCCTTCCTCTCTGTAAAAAATCAATAAAATATATTAAAAAAATTATTAAACCTACATTGGGTTTCTTTAAATATCCAATTAAATGGATGACCCACTGAAGTGCCTCAGAGCAATGTGGTCAGCCAAAGACATGGTTATCAACATGCTTACTTTCAGATTAATAGGATCCAGGTATTATTCTTAAAAGTTTGATTGCTCCTGTAATCATGGGACTTTTTAGAAGTTTTGGTGGACAATCCAGACTGCTCTTGTAAACCCTCAATTTAGAAACTGGATGCTTTGATGTTTAAGTGAAAGTTCAGGTTTCAAAAATTTCTTTGCCTAGTTGTCATTTTAATTTAAATTTTTGTATTTCTTCTTTTTAATCAGTTAAAGTTGGTGCTTAAGAAAGGAAATCAAACTGAAAATTTATATATAGGTGAGTCCAAATTCCCATTTGAACCTTTCCCCTTTTTCTCTGTTCTCTTCACTCAATGGGCTCATGTAGCCCACCACAAATAATTTCTTCCAGAAAAAGTCATTACTAAGTTATAGTATAACCACTGCCTTTCCTCTCATAAAAGATGGTACAAAGATACTTAATAACTCGCTGACAAGTTGGAGACCCCAGAGTTGAAGAACCTTTCTGAAAAAGGGGGGGAAAGGAATGGCAAAGATTGAAGAGCAAGAAGCTCTTACAGTAGAAGTCATTGTATATCCTACTAATGCCCTTTCATTTCTGTGCCCTGGAGTTGGGCCATTTTAAACCTTCTTCCTTTTTTATGAGGCTGAGAACTTTCCTATATTCAAGGCTCTCAGTTTTTTATTATAACCAATTACCCAACAAAAGCTGCTTGGTTATACTAAGCCAAAAAAAAAAAAATTCTCTGGGTGGAAATTAATTTTCTTGGATGATTCTGTGGAGTTGGAAACATTTACCTGAAGCTGCCTTTTCTTCCCCCAGAGTTAACCTTGCCTCAGTTCTACAGCTTCCTGCATGAGATGGAGCGAGTCAGAACCAGCATGGAGTGTTTCAGCTGATTTCTGTCCCCCTGCATCTCCACCTTTGCCCTCCCCTGCTGCCTCCGCTTCTGTGGGTGACTGCTCTGAGAAGCACCTCACTCAGGCCAGTGCAGCACTGATTTGGCCCTCCTTGCTTCTTGGGAGCCCAGGTGCAAAGGTTCTGAAAAACAACAGGATTAAGTACTTAAAGAGCCCTACACAATTACTCTGTAAACTCTTTGTTAAGGTAACCTCCACCACCTATCACCCAGGACACTTATTTGATATTCAAACAGGCTAGTATCTGAGATTCAGGGAGGAAATAAGTGAGTTCCCTCCCCATCAAAGTTCCAGAGTAAACAAAAGGTGCCATCACTGAAGATCCAGGCTGATCATCGTGTATTTCTGTTCTTTGTCCCTAAAAAAGCAAGGGCTTGTTTATGGCTGGGGAAGAGGCTGGATTCTGTGAATGACACATTAGGAATCCCCAACAAGATTTCTACACTGTGGTTTTGGTGATGGTGCACTGCTAATCAGTTTTTTGGTGTGTTTTTTCTTCATTGCTGGAAGTATTACATCTGTTGCTAATCAGTTTTTAATAGGGCAACTATGTACTTATACATGTTTGGCCTACTCTGAAAAGAACGGAGGCAAGACTATCTTCATTTCTGGTTTTCCCTATTGAGACTGTTACAGCTTGTTTTGGTTCAAGCTGACCACCTTTGTTGGTTAGATGATTAATAAAAAGGTTCCAAAGAAAAGGTCTGCATCCAGTTGTCTTTGTGTGTGGAGTGAAGAGTCCTCTGCCTTGCAGAGAGTTAATGATCTGATCTTCAAAAATTACTTCCCTGGTTTTGGTGAAGGCCCTGGGTTTTCAGTGAAATTAGCTGTGGTTCGAGGTTAAAATTTGTAAGAGCAGTTAAGGGGAAACTCAGGTTAAAAACATGAAAAGCAGAGCATATCACTGCTTTGTGTTGAGATGACCTTAGCCCCCACCCTAGCATGTGACTTCCTCCTACCTCTCCCCTCAGAAATTTTTTTTTAAAATTAAATTTTATTTATTGATTGATTTTAGGAGCGAGGGGAAGGGAGAAAGAAACATCAATTTATTGTTCTACTTATTCATGCATTAATTGGTTGATTCTTGGATGTGCCCTAGCCGGGGATCGAACCCACAGCCTTGGCATATCAGGATGACACTCTAATCAGCCGAGCTACCCTGCCAGGCCAGAATTTGTTGAATAGATAATATATACCCATGACTCAAGAGATATAGTGTAAAGTAGTTCCTTCTTACCCTCATTTCCCAATTACCTAGTTCCTTTCCCCAGCGGCAACTACTGCAATTAGTTTATTCTGTGTTTTTCTGTAGATGTTATGCATTTGCAAATATATATGCATAGAGTTTGACTTTTCCCCTCCACACACAAATGATAGTGTACTATACGCACACCTTGCTTTTTTCTACTTAACATGGAAATCATTCCACATCAGAACAGAGAAAGCAACCTCATTCCTTGTAACAAATGTACCATGTTTCTTCAAATGAATGGTTTATTTAACCAGTTTCCTACAGATGGGTGTTTAAGTTATTTCTATTCTTTTTCTCTTATAAGCAATTCTGCAACTCAATATTTTTGTATATATGTCATTTTGCATGCGTGGAAGTACATTTGTAAGATAAATATGTGAATGTGGAATTGCTCAGCCAAAGAATACATGCACCTTTTTGTTTTGTTTTTTATAGAGAGGGAGGGAGGCTCAAGGTGAGTGGGGGGGAGACATCTATGTGAGAGAGAAACATCTATCAGTTGCCTCCTGCACCCTCCCTGACCAGGGATTGAACCCACAACCTGGGCATGTGCCCTTACTGGGAATTGAACCTGCCATCTTTCGGTGTACAGGACAACACTCCAACCAACTGAGCCATATTGGCCTAAGCTAAATATGCGTTTATCAAAGAGTATTAAGAGGAGTAAAGCAAAATGTCTCCCTTCTTTGTTTCCCATTTACTGGGCTCCCCTACTGCCCTCCAACAGGTGACCCTGCTATTAGTTTCTTAGGTGTCCTCTACAGGGTTTTCCCCACATATAAGCAGTAGGAATTTAAATTTTTACTCTTTTTTGTTATTGTTTACACAGATGATTGTATACTATACACACTATTTTTTAAAATACTTTTTTTTAAAAAAATATATTTTATTGAACTTTCACAGAGAGGAAGGGAGAGAGATAGAGAGCCAGAAACATCGATGAGAGAGAAACATCGATCAGCTGCCTCCTGCACACCCCCCACCAGAGATTGAGCCCACAACCCAGGCATGTGCCCTGACTGAGAATTGAATCGTGACTTCCTGGTTCATAGGTCGACACTCAACCACTGAGCCACACCGGCTGGGCCATCACTGATGTTTCTATCTCTTTCTTTCCCTCTCCCTTTCTCTCTGAAATCAATAAAAATATGTTGCTTTTTAAAAAAAAAGGAAACATCAGTGATGAAAGAGAATCATTGATCAGCAGCTTCCTGCAAACCCCCTATCAGGGATCAAACCCACAGCCTGAGCATGTGCCCTGATGGAATCAAACTGGCATCCTTTTGGTTTGTGGGTTGATGTTCAACCACTGAGCCATATCAGCTGGACTATACACACTATTTTTTAAAATATATTTTACTGATTTTTACAGAGAGGAAGGGAGAAGGATAGAGAGTTAGAAACATCGATGAGAGAAACATCGATCAGCTGCCTCCTGCACACTCCCTACTGGGGATGTGCCCGCAACCAAGGTACATGCCCTTGACCGGAATCGAACCCAGGACCCTTGAGTCCGCAGGCTGACGCTCTATCCACTGAGCCAAACCGGTTCTGGCTATACACACTATTTTAAATATATCTTGGAGATCTTTCCTTCAGTACATAGAGTCTGCACCCTTTTCTGTGGTTGCAGCATATTCTCATATGTGAATGGGTGATAACTAGCATTTGCAATTTTGCTAAGTAGTGCCAGTATTAGGGCTCTCCAGAGAACAGCCAACAGAGGTGTGTGTGTAGAGAAGATTTATCTTTTAATTTGATTGATTTTAGTGAGAATGGGGGAGAGAGAAACATCAATCTGTTGAGCCATCCATCTGCTGTTCCACTTATTTATGCATTCGTTGGTTGAGTCTTTTTGTTTGTTTTGTTAATCCTCACCCGATGATATTTTTCCATTGATTTTTAGCGAAAGTGGAAGGAAAGGGGAAAGACACAGAGTGACACACATCAATGTGAGAGAGACACATGGATTGGTTGCCTGCTGCACACACCCTTACCAGGGCTGGGGATGGGGCCTGCAACAGAGGTATGTGCCCTTGACCGGCATCAAACCCAGTACCCTTCAGTTTGCAGGCTGATGCTCTACACTCTATCCACTGAGCCAAACTACCTATGGCTCATTGGTTGATTCTTATATGTTCCCTCACCTGGGATGGAACCCACAACCTTGGTGCATCGGGATGACACTCCAACCAACTGAGCTGCCTGGCCAGTGCAAGGTTTATTTATTTGTAAGTATTGGTTCACATGCTTTTGGAGGCTTCAGAAGTCCAAAATCTGCAGGGAAGGCCATTCAGCTAAAGACCCAGTGAGGAGTTACAAATCCAGTCCAAAGCAGTCTGCTGGCAGAATTCCTTCTTGCTGGGAAAGACAGGGGAGTTAGTATTTGTTTTAGTAAGACCTTCAACTGATTAGAGGAAGCCCAACCACACTATGGAGGGGAATTTGCTTTACTCTGATTGAAAAGTCTACCAATTTAAATGTTAATCTCATCCACAAAGTGCCAGGACTGGCTTGCAGACCCTGAGCTATGGATGAATGCATTACTCTTAGACATTTTCTGTGAAAGAGAGGACTAAGGGACTGCTTGGCTATAGCAATCTAAACAGCCCCGTTTGCCTGCCTCCTTAGACTTTTATTGTAATAACAGCTTGAACTACAATTAACTATTAGGTACTATCAGCAGGGTAAGCATTCTTGAGAAAACAAATGTATCTGTAGTGTCTTTAAACAAGGACATTTTGGAGTCTAAATATAAAGATTCTAGTAAAACACCAGAGGGCTTAGACTTGTATGGATAAGTCAAGGCAGCATCTGCCGCCTTTGGCAAGGTTCCCCTAGAGCAGTGGTTCTCAACCTTCCCAATTCTGTGACCCTTTAACACAGTTCCTCATGTTGTGGTGACCCCAATTTCATTGTTACAAATTGAACATAATTGAAGCATAGTGATTAATCACAAAAGCAATATGTAATTATATACGTGTTTTCTGATGGTCTTAGGCGACCCCTGTGAAAGGGTCGTTTGACCCCCCAAAGGGGGTCGCGACCCACAGGTTGAGAACCGCTTACCTAGAGGCCCCCAACCTTTTGGAGATTCCTCCTTACAGGCTTTCCAACCAAGTCCCGTGCTTCCCCACAACAAAGCACTTTCACAGAAACATCCAGAATAATATTTGACCAACATCTGGGTATCGTAGCCTGCCCAAGTTAATACACAAAATTAACCATCACAGTGCCAAGCTGACCTCTACAGAGATTATTCCAATTTATGTAAGATTCCTGTCCACAAGTACCAAAGAAGAGCAAATTGGTGCCTTTGAACAGAGTATCCAAGAATGCACATGAGCCGAAACCAGTTTGGCTCAGTGGATAGAGCGTCGGCCTGCAGACTGAAAGGTCCCAGGTTCGATTCCGGTCAAGGGCATGTACCTGGGTTGCGGGCACTTCCCCAGTAGGGGATGTGCCGGAGGCGGCTGATCGAGGTTTCTCTCTCATCGATGTTTCTAACTCTCTGTCTCTCTCCCTTCCTCTCTGTAAAAAATCAATAAAATATACTTAAAAAAAAAAAAAAAGAATGCACATGAGATTTCTGAGGGTCTCATGTGTCTGAGATCATTAGACTCTAATGTAAAAAGAATTCACAGAATGTCAGGACAGGAAGGCACCTAAAATGCAATCTAGTTAAATTCATTCATATTATGGACCAGAGGACCGATGTATGAAATTCGTGCAAGAGTAGGCCCTCCTTCCCCTGGCTGCCAGCACCAGCTTCCCTCTGCTACCCAGGACCTGGGCTCCCCTCTGGCCGCTGGCAGGTACCCAGGACTTGGGCTTCTCTCTGGCCACCAGCAGGCACCTGGGACCCAGGCTTCCCTTGCAGCCCCGGCTTCGTTTGGTAAGTAGTCTGGAAGGACGGCCAGTCTAATTAGCATATTGTGCTTTTATTATTATAGACTAGAGGCCGGTGCACAAAAATTTGTGCACTTGGGAGGAAGAGGGTGTCCCTCAGCCTGGCCTGTGCCCTCTCGCAGTCTGGGACCCCTCGGGAGATAACGCCCTGCTGGCTTAGGCCTGCTCCCGGGTGGCAGAGGGCAGGCCCAATCCCTAGGTGCAGCCCCTGGTCGGGCTCAGAGCAGGGCCGATTGGGGAGTTGGGGCGCTGTCCCCTGTCATGCACAGAGCAGGGCGGATTGGGAGGTTGCAATGCCACCCTCAGTCACGCTCAGGGCAGAGCCGATTAAGGGGTTGGGGCCCCGCCCCCTGTCACACTCAAGGCAGGGTTCATGGGGAGGTTGCAGAGCCACTCACTGTCACGCACAGAGCAGGGCCAATCAGGGGGTTGGGGTGCCGCCCTCTATCACCCACAGAGCAGGGCCGATCAGGGGGTTGGGGCACCGCATCCTGTCACACACAGAGCCGCAGGGCGATCAGGGGTTTGGGCGCTGCCCCC